AATCTTCATTATTCGTCATAGATACCCTTTTTCATGGTCCAGTTTCCATTCAACGTATTTAAGTAGGGTTTCTCTTCTTGTGAACTTCAGATTCTTAAATTAAAAATATTTAATATAATTAATAATTATAAAATTAATATTAATTAATATTAAAAATATTTTTTTTTATAAAAAAAAAATATAAATTCATCTGTATTATTTCAAATGTGTGAATTATTACGAAAATCAAAATACAAAAAAAACATCTTTAATAATATTATTTATTTTATATTGAATTTAAAATAAGTCAAGATAAAAAGATCGAACAATGTAATCTTTTGGGCGACAACGAATGAGAAGAAAGGATTGAAAAACGAAAAACGAAAAAAAAAATAAACGGTAGAAGAGTTGTTGGAAAAAAGAATACCATGAGTTCACATACCGGTAGAAAGATTCGTAGGCCAAGTATACATAAGGCAGGACAAAGGGTTTGCTGCTGGCTTAGGTAGCAAGCACACAATTTTTGTCGTCTTACACGACTATATTGTTTGGAACCTGATTATCCGAGTATTTAATAACCTTCTAAACGTTCCAAAGAAAAGAAAATAAAGTGGGAAAAAGAAAAAGTGAGTTTATAAACGTCCCTTAAACAAACCATGATAAAAATGTTGATAGTATGATATTATGTTGCTTGATTTTGAGATTATAATCTACCTGATTGCGATATATTTCCTAAAATTGTTATATTTTCATGTGAGATAGAAAAAATTAGTATAATTGAGAAAAACATTGAATTCGTCGTTGTGATACGTAACGGCGAGAAAAGAGAACGATTGGGAGGTTAGAGAAAAGGAAGAAGGGACTCAGCCCTTACACATGTCTAGGGATCTACGAGGCCCCAAAAATGGGTCCGTAAAGCTAGTCTCGGTGGGGCCGCTCGCGCATATGGTGGCAGCTACGTATGTAACTCGCACATATACAAAAGTACGCATACTCATACAAAAAAAGAACTCGTGGTAATAGCCAGGTGTTTCAAAGGTGAGGCTATGGGGTGCTCCTCGCCTCGAGAGGCGGCAGAACAAAAAAACAAACCAGCTTCCTTCCGATGGGGGCTACCTCCCATCGGCTGAACCACACGGTATACGTAGAGTACACATGCACACACCTAGACAAGGTGTGCCGTAATAATTATACAGATTTATTCGAACGGGCCAACTCAACGACACGACGAGCACTACATATACCGACTAGTTAAACGTTCCTACAAAAAAAAATATATATATATATATATATATATATATATATATATATATGTATGTATGTATGTATAACATCGTGAACCCGAAGAAACTCGTACATATAAGTACTTATACTTCCACGATGATCGAGTCACACCTTTCATTGATCTTTTTTTCCTACCGTGTAATTTTCCATTATTATTATAGAAGATCCGTTAAGTAAATTATACGAATCATAGAATGATATAACCAAACGTTTATCCGTATATTAAAAAGGGCAACATTTGTTTTAAATTTGTCTATTAGATTAAAACTTAGATAGAAAATATCTTTGAAACGTGTAAATAAGATAAACAATGTAAACACAAGAAATGAGAGATAAAGAGAAATTTGAGAAATAAAAAAAATAAGAAAAACATTTTCTTCCAGTATTTTTTATGAATTAACGGACATATGTTTTGAGACCTTTTATTTCTAACATCTTAAAAATACCGCTGACAAAATTTATTCCGAAAGATCGTAACCGCTTAAAAAGGGTTCTTCTATGAGACCTGCTCGTAATATCGAAATTTTACTTGTTAGAAAAAGGACAGATATATGTATACATATTTTGGTAGCAACCTGCGCAAAATTTCTGACCAGTCCTAGTTGAATTGAAGGGTGACCAAGGATAGAAAAGCCAACGTCCGTCGTCGTCATCTCTCTCTCTCTCTCTCTCTCTCTCTCTCTCTCTCTTTCTTTCTTTCTCTTTTTATTTCGCTAGGTTTTGCAAGTATAGGATATGTGGCCAAACAAAAGGTGAAGCGAGTTAACGCGCCCAACATTTGGTATAATTTAGGAGCACCTTTCGAGACTACTTCTCTCTCTCTCTCTCTCTCTCTCTCTTTTCATTCTTTATCTTTTTTTTTTCGCAATGAAGAGAGAACGAAAGAAGAAAGAAACGGAATAGCTCACCGGAACCAGCGGTAGCTTACCGGAATAACCGGATGAGATGCAGGTCCTCTCGTCGTCTGCTTCGTCTCCTTCCCTTTCCCTCTTTTCTCTCTCTTTGCGGTTCTCCCTCTTATTTCGGCACTCTTCGTTTTCTCTTCCTCGGGATATTTTTTGACGGATCGAGCCTGTGAGTGCGTAAGAGAAGGGATACATGGTTGTTGGCAGGAAAGCAGGTAAAGATACGCATAGTATGTATACATATTTATATATACTATATATCTATATATAGTATGTGCTAGTCGAAGGGATACATAGTTGGTAGGAAAGCAGGTAAAGATATGCATAGTATGTATATATATATTATATATATATAGTATGTCTAGTCGAAGAGACAGATAGCTTCTACGAAAGGTACCTTTCTTAAGAGCATACTTTAAGGCATGCAAAGCAGGTAGATGATTCGCTGACTAACGACCGGTGCACGATTCATCCTTTCTCCTCTCGTTTTTTAAGGAATAAGAAAGAAAGAAAAAAAAGGGAGGAGAAAAATATAGCACATATAACCGAAGATTTTCTTCTTCCTTCCTTCCTTCCTTCCTTATTTCTTTTCTTCTTTAGTTTGGTTTAAACCGCTTTGCCAAGTGGCGGATTATGAAAAGAAAAAATAGAAAAGTTACATGACGAGGAAAACACGATGATGATGGCACCATCGATGCTGCTACTATCCCTTTATTCGATAAAGAAGAATATTTTTATGGTCTTTCTCACACGAGCGCGTATATATATACACACACACACACACAATTGTAAAGGAAGTATTGCAACGCTAATAGAATGTAGGGCATTCTAGTGGTGGCAGGTATGTCAAAGTCGTTGGAATTCGGTTGTGGATCTTTGGTATCGTATTTGTGGAGAAAACGCATGCGTAAAATTTTTATGGGCGCATAAATGCGCTACGCTTTTATGACCACCCACAGGAGGTAGTTATAAATCGCGACTAGTTTCTTAATTAATACGAGATAAACGTCGAATCGTCGACGAAGCGTCGTCTATTCATGTATCACGTCGAACAAGGAATATCGAGTTACACAAAGATATTATCATAAAATTGTCGTAGAAAGAGAAGGAGAAAGAGAGAGAGAGAGAAAGAGAGTAAGCATGTTTCAAGTATCGGTAGTTCAGTCTCTTTGTTTCTCCCTTTATTACGAAATGATCGGGCGGTCTCTCGTGTACGAATGCGCAAGCAAGCAAGCAAGCAAGCAAGCAAGGCATTGGAAACTAGTCCAAAGAATATAAAGTGTTACGCGAACGAGCTGTTTACGACGACAAGTACAAGGGTCCTTCGTCAAAAATCTTTTTTAGTCCTATCTTTCTTCGAGCATCGAAAATATTGCCGTACCTACCTTTCCAGTAGGTACCGATGTTTATCATTTTACACGAACGCCCCTGATTCAAATGATCTCGTTGTTTCAACGATGAAAACAATTTCGTTAACGAGAAGGAAAATGAAAAAAGTTTATCTCTATAATTATCGAAACAAGCATATTTCGACAAGACCTTCGACACGTCGTCTGTTATCTTTCAGAAATACGATATCAAACTTAAACTTAATGCTATTAGGTGTTAATAAAAAATAATACTATCCAATTGTATAAAATTTGCATGTATTCTTTCGTAAAAGATAAGTGTGTGTGTGTTTTAAGAAGACAAGCGAGATAAATCATACGCAATGAGAAGAAACTCGGGTTTCTTCTGTGAAGGAGGTAGTAGGTCACGTGGCGAGAGATCACGAAGAGAGCAAGCAATACAATTCTTATCCTCTCGCTTGCGAAAATGGCAGTGTGTTGTTGGTTGTGTGTGCTCTTGGGGCTCGTGAATCCAGCGTGGTCGAGTAGGCGCGCGCGCGCGCGCGCGCGTGTTCTTACTCGCGTTTACTGACGCTGCCACGCTCTCCTTCTAACAAGAGGGGGATCCACCCGTACGTGTAGGTTTCAGCACGCGTGGGCGATGCTGCGGCACGCGACACGACCGTTACGTTCGAAACTGGCGCTGCTGCACGCTGCCGCCTTAAGAGTAGAAGGGATAAGGGGGGAACTGAAATTCAGCAAGGGGAATGAGTGACGAATCGCTGTAGTATCCTCGCACGAACGCACACGCACGCAAAGTTACGCGTACAAGGTTCAAATATATGAAGAAAGAAAGAAACGGTACGAGCGACGCTCCTGTTTCCAAATAGAGAGAGAGAGAGAGAGAGAGAGAGTGATAGTGGGGAGGGAGGAAGAGGTAAAAGAAAAAAGCCAGGTAGATCGAACGGAAATTCGAATGGAAAAACGCGTACGCACAAAATAGCGCACACGTGTGTAACAACGATAGCGTTTAACGAGGGGTAGAGAGGGTGGGTGGTCGTTTAGATGAGAGTAGGCCCAAGTAGCATCTGCGCTCTCTTTCTCGTAGTGCGTTGCGCGAGAAAAATCTTGTGAGCGAGCAAACGCCTTAGTAATAGAGAGAGACAGAGAGAGGGAGAGAACGAGGGAAAAAAAGGGAGGGGGGAACGTAGTTCAGGACAATCGCGTTGCACTCACAAATATCCTGCACCTCCTGTACTGTCGAGCCTAGCTCGGGCAGCATAAAGAGTGGGGAAGAACACACGAACTGTCGGAACAGATGGCTCATCCGTGATTGGTCGACGTTCCATGACCGGCCGTCCCCCATTGGCGAGCGCGCGGGGCCCCTGGCCCCGATTGGTTCGTCTACACGTGCAGGCCACCTGCACCTGAGGTAGTGGGGAAGGCGTATATAAAAGGCCCTAGAGTTCCCCCTGCCGTCAGAGACCGGCTCGCAGCTGAACCGTTTTAGCAGTTGTGCTGGGACTTCTTATAAGTTAACATCAATCTTTATATTTCTGTAGTCATCTTTTTCATTTCCTTTGCCTCGGTCTGTAACAAAACGAGACGGAGAATAAACGTAGTGCCATACTTCAAAGAAGGAAGTTAGTGTGTGAAATAGTGCAGTGACATTAATCAAGTTATCAAGGATTATTATTTATATTTCTTGCATTGACTTTATTTTGTCTTCTGCTCATGAACGTATCATTATATAGTGTGAAAAAAAGAAGTAATACGGGTTTACGTGCCACTCAAAAAATTGGATTAACTGGTGGTGACTGCCTTCGCGGTATATCAATTACCTGCGAAGAGCAAAATTATTTTCACTAAAAACCCGTTGCTTCTTCAAGGCCCAAATATGCTTGTCGAAGAGATGCCTCGTAGTTTCGTGAAGAAAAACAACAGTTACAGTCACTGTCCGCTTAAAAAGCGACCAGTGGTTGTTATGATAAACGAGGATGTTCCAAAAGTGATTAAAGGTGAGTCTCATATATTGCAAATTTTCTTTTTTCATTAATACGAACAAACATTCATTCGCGTTAAATATTTGTACTTTCTAAATGAACGTGATTTCGTTGAACGGTCTTTTGTTCCGATATTCTTCAAATGAAATATTATTTCTATGAACGGAAACGTTTACTCATCAGTCGATTTATGCATATATGCACAGTGCGTCGTTGATAATAAGCACTAGAATACAAAGCGCGTACGATAAACGATTACATTTTTCTGATTTTAAATTTTGTTATAAATCTTATTAAAGTAATTTGAATTTAAAAAAATAATACAATCTTATTGATAATCAATTATCTCGTAACATATACAATCTGATTGTGAGTCATTCAATTTTTTCTAATACTCAACTTAATTCATATTAATTTACAATCTTTTTTGTATGTGAGTGGCAATTAATATATGCATTTACGTATATGGATCATACATTTTTCAATATACATTCCTTCGAATATGATAATAGACTTTCTGCGCTTAAATATAATCTTCAAAGCAAAAATATTAAAATCCTTCTGGAATATTCGAACCTGCGTTTTTAACGTCTATTTGAATTTTCTTCTTTAGAAGAGATCATTGACGTGGGAGTGGATGATATTCCCGAGCCCGAAAACTTGAGCACAAAACCAGAAGATCTAAGTAGACACGCTGAACGTCATTTAAGTCAATCACAACCACAACAACAGCAGCAGCAGCAATTATTGCAACAGCATGAACGACAACTAAAAGAAGAAGAAAAACAACAACACCACCCTCATCATCATCATCATCAGCAGCAGCAACAACAGCATCAGGTATCGTCGGAACAGTTAACGCATAAGCAAGAGTATTCTTCAAGGACGCCGTCACCTCCGATGATGCGATCACCTTCTCCTATCTCACTTAAATCGGCCTCGCCATCGGCGCATCAACATCTTCATATACTTCACCCGGTGAATTTCCATTATCACAATCATTTCCCTACAAAGGCAATCACGCCGCCGGCTGGAATCGCACCAATTCATCCTGTTGCAAAGAAGGCTCGCGTCGAAGTTCTCCAGCATGAATGTTCCTCTTCTACGGTGGTAACAGGTACGACAACTACGACGGATACGGCTGCGGGTACGGGTACAGCCGCGGTTTCACCTAGTTCAGCGGCATCGCTTCATTTCATGGTTGCTAAGGCATCCTTGGAGCCATTGAACCTGAACACTCCGGTCGAGCCGTCAGCTCATTACTCGACACCGACGTGGCCTCATTCCGCGCCTCTGTATCCACCTAACTATTTCCCCTATCCAGCCTATAGATATCATCCTGCGGGCCCGGATCTCTATTCGAATTTTCCTATGGCATCTTATTCACATTCAATTCCAGAAGATCCTTCATCGGTCTCGCCACCTCCTCACATCGCTCTGACTTGTCCAACAATCCAGAGACCAATTGCCAGGACTTACACTCACTGGGCCAGTCCTGATCAATGCGGTCTTTCTCCTACTAGTTCCTTAGAATCGGGATCCTTGAGGTCACCTCCACCGATCATTCCCGAAGATTTATCTTCTCCAGGAAGTGAGAGTGGAAGATCTTCCGCCGGTAGTACCTCGTCTGGTCCAACAATCGTCAATGCCAAGATCGATAAGAGTCCGACAAGTAACACCACCGCGGCTCTTTCTTCTTCCTCATCTTCAACTACTTCTCAAAGGTATAAGTGTACAGATTGTGGAAAGTCTTATTCCACGTATTCAGGACTGTCGAAGCATCAACATTTCCACTGTGCTGCAGCGGATGGTCAATCGAAAAAAGCGTTTTCTTGCAAATCTTGTGATAAGATTTACTTTAGTCTCGGTGCTCTTAAAATGCATATCAGAACGCACACGCTACCATGCAAGTGTACGATCTGCGGCAAAGCGTTCTCCAGGCCATGGCTACTTCAAGGGCATATCAGGACTCATACCGGAGAAAAGCCGTTCAGTTGTCAGCACTGCAATCGCGCTTTCGCTGACAGAAGCAATCTAAGAGCTCATTTGCAAACTCATAGCGAGGTAAAAAAGTATTCTTGCTCGTCTTGTAGAAAGACGTTTAGTCGAATGTCTTTGCTGTCGAAGCATCAGGAAGGTGGTTGTCCTGGTATAACCGTAGCCATAGGCTATGACCATGTATAAATAATTGGAAAAATAAATGTCGAGGAAATCGAGAGTCTTATGCTGTTCACACAGGTGTGATAATGCTCAAACGCGTTTTTATAAAATACCCGATTGAAATTAAGACTCTCGCTTTCACGGCATTATTTAAAAAAAAAAATATTTTTCGTATCCGACAGTGCCTTCTTCGGGAAAAACGCCGAATCGAAAAATAAGTTATTAACAAAACGTAATTTTTACTTCGCTTCGATTAAAATTTGATTTAACGAACTCGAAATTTAATCGAAGTCTCCAGAGACTTTAACGAGCGGTCACAAATGATTTCCGTTCAGATTTATTTTTCAACTATGATCGTATCTTCCTTTTCTTTCTCTCTCTCTCTCTCCTCTCTCTTTCTTTCTTTTAATATTTACTCTCATCAATGTAATAAAAGTCTAAATCGATCGCCGAGAATACTATCGTAAATATTCTTTTTTATTTTTTTTATTTTTTTTTATTTCAGTTCGATTTGAATATAGTAATTTTCCTTCCAGATATATTTATCGACCGCCATTCGTTATAGAGATATATATATATATATAACTCAGATTGGGTATACGCGAGTGAGAATATTATTACGAGTGTGTGTGTAAAAAAAGAAAAACAAAAAAAATATATCAAAGTGTTGCCCGTACGTAGGGTAGCGGCGTACGCGCTTGTCTCTCTTACTTTACGAAAATATTGGTCAAAGATTGTTTCTATTTTTTTTTTTTTTGACCGCTAAAAGAAAGAGAAACGGGAAAATAAAAAGCGTTCAATGTTACCGCTCGACGCGGTCCCGTGAAATCGCCGTGCCATTTTGTTTTATTTTTCTTTTTTCTATTTCTCTTTCTCACATTTATCGATCTTTTTTTTTTTATATTCTTTCTCTTATAGTTGTTCGATTGGATTTAAAGATAAAAATTGATGATATTAAGTAGATTTATCAAATTGACTGAATAAGCTCGGAAATAAATAGAAATGTGTATTTTCATTTACAGGGTGAAAAAGAAAAAGTGTCAAATATTTTTAAAGGCTTATTGTGTGTACTTATCAATAAAAGTACAAAAATATTCTAATTAACGTTGATTCTAAAATCAATCATTTCGATAATAATTAACTTTTATTATTAATGAACATTCTTCGATATCGTATGGGAATGAATCTTTTGACAACATTATTGAATATAACACTGAGAAATTTCATGAAAAAATTCACTTTTATTCAATATTGTCAAAGATCTAATAATAACATTTTATTTTGTTTCGTCAAAGTGCAACACCGACGACAATATAATCGACGATACCATTGTATGTAAAATAAGACGTTTAACGATTATTTTATAAGACAGACAGACAAAAAAAGGGTTTACGCGAAATAACGATATATATTTTTAAACGAAAACATTGAAAATTATTTACATTTACCGACGTTCAAGCGAATGCTAGAACGCCGTCGGTTCTAATTATATTTTCTCCTCCTCTTTTTCGTATTTTTTTTTTTTTTCTTATTTGTTCCTCACTCTTTCTCTCTCTCTCTCTCTCTCTCTTTCTTCTTCTATTTTTGTATTCTTTTTAGGTTTATTCGAATTCATATATATGTTACCGTTAAAACGTAAAATTCGTTGATTCATGGAATAACCAATTAAAATTGATATAATCTAATTCTTTCTATATACATATATGTATATATATATATATATATATATATGCTTTTCCTGGAACATTTAATTATTTCTTATAAAAACTTGGGGGTTTCTTTTTTTTTTCTTTTAAATGAATTAACTGAATTATATACCTTTAATGGTAACACATACACCGCTCACTTTCAAGTTACTTGAAGAAACTAGTCATTGTATCATATAGTATGCGTAACTAGAACAAGAGCGACTCGCTATTCGGTGAAAAAAAAACAAACAACAAAGTTTCATATTTCGTCTGTGAACAATAACAACAAACAAAACAACAACAAAATAAATAGACGAAATTGATACATATATATATATTGTATTGGTGTAAAGCCAAACGCCAATCGATATTTTGTTGATCATTATTAAATACATGATAACAAAATAGATATATTATTATTGCTTATAAAACAAATCGATTCGACATTTTGTTTGAATCACTTTTTAAACATAAAAGATTAACTAATAAAATATTGCTAGAAAAGCAAACGAGCCCGTTGTCTCGTTCAATCGTTGTGTCTATTATAAATAGAGCACCACTATTTTGGTGGCGAGTACCATTATTTTCTAGTTCTGTAAAGAAAAATTAAATACTATTAAGTATAAATACTAGCTATATATATATTCTATATATATATATATATAGAAATATTTTATATGAAATAAAATGATATAGATCTTCAACTTGAATATTATTTATTTGTTTTTTTTTTTTGAATTATCCATTTCCTTTCCTTTTGATCCTCATTCCTTTAAACAAAATATAAAATTCTATAGTTTTTATTTTTTATTATGTAAAAAAAAAGAAAACAAAAGAAAACGTAGTAAATAAAATAAATAATTCTGTTAGAATTTATTTTACATTATTTTATGATTAAGAATAAAATGATATGGAAGGGAAGGTATCATTGAAGGGGAAACATTCATCGATTTTCGATTAACCATAAGTCTTTAGGATACGAACAATCTTCCTAATTGGTAAAACCAAGTTTATTGTATTTAGAAGAGTCGATTTTATTTGGTTTGATATTTACAAGAGGAACGTTATCGAGCACGTTTCAATATTTCTCGTTGTACGACACGTGCGTATGCAACCAAGTAATTACATCTATTCGAAAGGGATAAGGTGTGTATATGTATATAGTTGGTTGCTAAATAATTTCGACGAGAGTTACGGCTGTTCGAGATACTCGTTCGTGTATTCGCTGAGTTTGTTGAAATCGAAAGGGGCGTTAATAGTGCTTGACCATAATTAATTGATCCTGAGATTTGATCTACATAAATACGCTTGCAATAATGTTAACTCGTTAAAAATGATTTTTTAGAAATATTAATAAAATAGTTTTGGCATAAATCAAAATCATATTAATCTATCTGACTATCAATCTACTTGGATAATATCGGAAAAGGGAAAGATTGAAAATCATATATTTTATCAAACTTGTTAATTTCATTCTAATTTTTATTTTCTTGCTGGTTTGTACATATTTAGCACTTTACGATACATGAGACAATTCGGTTAAGTCTCATTAATGCAACCATAAGATTTATTATCAACATAAAGTAGTAACGTCGTACGGTTTATACATACGACGTAGAAGTATGTTGGTACATAAAATAATATCGATAGAGGATGACAGGACGTCGTAAACGGCTACCCATATTATACGGTGAAAATTACAACGCAACTAACCGACGACAGGTAGTTTTAACATAAAATAAGCCGTAATCTCTCTCTCTCTCTCTCCCGCACGAGAGTTACATTTGGGCACACGAACGAAGGATGATGATCAACGATCCACACGCTTTCGAGATGATTTCGATGGTGGTTCGTTCAAAAAGGTGTATGGAAAGGAATTAGAATTTATCTCGCTCACTCACACGCACGTATACACACACGCACATGTTTGTAACACCGCGTAGAAAGCGTAAAACGTGACACACAATAGACTTTTAGCCAAAGCAAACAACATATGGCATGGAAACGGTAGTACGAAACGCATTGAATCGTTCTCGAACACCAGGGCAATGGGTTGGTGGTGGTTACCTGCCCTGCGTATTTAAGTCCCACGCGTATTTAACGTGCATTTGCCGATTCAATCAGCCGTGCCAGACTTTTCGTTAAGAGAGGAGAGAAGAGGGGTGGAGGAAGGGGAGACTTTTTGTTCAGTGATCTTTCGCCCATATGGGTGTGCGACTGCACACTAACTTCCACATGCTGCAGCATCAGTATAAACGTATATTTCATGGAAAGACAGTTATATGTAACGGTAATTATGATACTGCAATTAATCTATTTTATGATTTATTTATTTATTATTTTTTTTTAATAAATGAAATTTAATGAATGAAAACACTTTTTATGATTTACAATTGTACGTTTCGAACAGTTTTATTGGTATAATGAAAATAACTTTCTAACTTTCACAGCTATTAGATTTATAGATGACAAGATACTTTAGTAGGGTCTCTTCGATTTTTGAATAAAGAAAGGACTGAGATTTTGGTATTCCTCATTTGTACGAAATCAATGTGATAGAAGTCGAAAGGAAAGAAAAGTCTCTATGCATTTTAATCGTACTTTAACTTAAACAATTGATCGAAAATTTATATTCGAAAGAAATTCTTTTTTAAAACGTTCGAGTTCGAATTGTTGCACTCAAAGGAGAATTCAATTAGTAATGAAATTTTTTTGTCGGTAGAAATATACATATGTATAGTTAGATATCATGGAAACTTAAAAATACGGCGTAATCGAGAATTCGTGGCACGAGCGGAGAATATCTCCGTTTGACCGACAGGTGTTCTCCTTTTTTTCAAGTAGCGGACGATTCGAATCCGCGATACCTATGTGTATCCACGTACGCGACATACCGGCTCGAACGAACACGAAGCAAGAAAGTGTGGAAGCAAAATCTACCTCGATCCTTGGGCTTTTATGGCGAGTGGTTCGATCACGAACAGGTGCGTTGGTGCGTTCCTACTCTCGATTTAAAGCTTCTATTATAACACGTTTTCTTAGCCCTATATATATATATATATATATATATATATTATAATATATATTATATTATTATTAATTATATTGTTATTAATATATNATTAATTATATTGTTATTAATATATATAATATAGAATTATTATATATTATTATAAATTAATATAAATTATAATTATTGTAATAATATATTTATTATATTTATTATATATATTATATATATATTATATATACGAATGAGTAATATCCGGGCACAAAGTATTTACCTGTAAATACATATATCAACATATGTGTGTGTACTAAAGTACACGTTAAAACTTTAACGGAAAGGAAAGAAAAAAAATACGTAGGAGTGTGCTAAAGGCTAAAAAAACGATGACAACTTCCGTTCTGACTAAATAAGAGTTTTGTCTCATGTCAGTTTACAGAGATTTTTTAGTACAATAGTAAGGGAGACCGAAAAAAATATATATATATATAAAGAGAGAGGAAGAGAGAAAGCAAGTGAATTCCTGGAAGAATTATTCCCTTTTTTTTTCTTCGTTTTCTTTATTTTCGAAATCGGATTTCTTTTGTATTCAATGAATAATAAATTTCACTTTCTTTGTCCTTTTTAAAAAAGATTGAAAATTATTTCTAAGTTACAAGTTTTTTTTTTTAGAATAACCTATTGTTCATAATGATGGATTCATAAAGTATGAATGGAGAAAGTAAAATAAAAAAGGAAGGTCAATGTTCATTGATTCTTGGACTTTTTCTAACAATAGAAAAAGGAATCCAACTCTACCATATTATAAGATTTAACGAGATTTTATCTTTTGAAATACCATTCGTGTTTAATACAAATAATTCCAAAGATCTCGAAAAGAAAAAGAAAGTATTCATGAAACAAAAAAAAAGTTATAGTCTTATTGGCAGAATTTAAATAAAAAAAAAGAAGGATAAAAATTTCGTCTCTCTTTTTAATTTTTTTTTAATTTTTGTTGAATTTTTCTTTTTCTTTTGTTTTTTTTTTATTTTTTTTTTTTTATTGTTGTTGTATTTCTTCGACACGGTAGGTCTCGTTCGTAAGATCGGAACAACGATCCGAAGAAGAAATCCCACGACCTTCGACATAGGCCGATACAGAAAAGTCGGGACGATATTGACCCCCGGTTA